TGCGCGACCTCGAGGCGCTTCCAGAGCTCGTGGGTCACGGGCTCGAGGCTCGCCTGGTCCGACTCGCAGAGGCCCCAGGGGTCGACGAGCGCCGCCTCGAACTCGTGCAGGATCCAGACCTTGCGCGCGCCGCGGTCGTCGCCGCGCGCGTGCGCGATCTCCATCGCGGCCCGCAGCTCGCGCTGCCGCGATGCGCTCCGTGAAGGACTGCGACCCGTCGTTGTCGTACCACGCGACCGTGTCGTCGTCGCCGGACGCCGACAGCACGTCGACGTCGCCGTCGCCGTCGACGTCGATGGCGAAGACGGACCAGGCCGCGTCCGCTGCGTCGCTGATGACGTGCGCCGCGAACGAGACGGCGCAGGAGTCCTCCGCTCCGGCGACGGCGACCGCGATCGCCGCCGCCAAGGCGCGCCGCCACATGGGTTTTTCAGCTGCCGGACTTGCCGGGCAGCCCGCCCAGTGGAAATAAGACTTAGTGTCGATCCTCTCCAATGCGGCCTTGCAAGGAATTTGCACTTCAAACAGACTCATACTTCGTCCTCTCGCTCAGCTTGTGACTCAAGCGTCGGGCGGCCCGAAAACCAGCAGCAGCGCAACGCTCCGCGGGCATGGCGCTGAAGCGCGTCGTCGTCTTCGGCGGCAACGGCTTCGTCGGCAGCGCCGTGCTCCAGCGGCTCGCCGGCGTCGCGGGCGTCGAGGCCGTGAGCGTGTCGCGGTCCGGCTCCGCGCCGGCGCACGCGGCGACCTGGGGCGACGCCGTGGACTGGCGCGCGGGCGACGCGCTCGACGCGGCGACGTTCGGCGACGCGCTCGACGGCGCGGCCGCGGTCGTCGCGAGCGTCGGGACGCCGCCGCTGCCCGGCGCGGACCGGCGCGACAACGGCGATACGGTCCGCGGCGTCCTCGCCGCGGCGGCCGCCGCCGGCGTGCCCCGCGCGGTCGTCGTCGGCGCGACGATGCCGCCCTGGCTCGGGTCCCTGTCCGCGGGCTACGCGGCGGGCAAGCGCGACGCCGAGGCGGCGGCCGAGGCCTTCGCCGC